CCAGTCTAACAAATGAATCATAATCCCTTCATAATTTTTTTTTTGTTAAACCTAGACTTGGGCCTCCCAATTGGCTTTTCCCATAATATCCTCACTAACTCCTCTTAATTGTCCAATTTGCTCTTAATTCACTTATATTTATTTTAATTAATAATAATACTAATATATTTATATTATATATTATTATTCAAAATAAATAACGCAAATTCCATTAATTCTCAATATTCCATAAAACCACCGAAAATCACTGAAATGCGAATATTTTTATTTAAATAAATTAAATAAATATTCCAATAAAATTTGGGGTGTTACACTAAACCATCGTAGCACGATTTATGATGAAGATCATGCTATAGGAGGCCATGCAAGAATCATATTTGTGCTAAAACACGATTAAGAAACAATATTGTGAATCAATCTCAAAGAAATCTTGTCACACGAAAAGAAAAGAGGATGCTCTCGTCTTAATCATAAACTTTCATCAGTTAATCGAAGGTAACCTATCACGATCCCAAAGTATAGCAAATTATCTCGATGATCATTCACTACAGATTTGAAATAATGAAGGTTAAGCAACCTCAACAATCAACATTCGTGACATTAAAGACTCCATCGACCAAAAGAAAAAGAAGAAGAAAGAGAACCAAAACAAATCTTAATTCGATTAAATCGTCATTAATATCAATCACCTCTCTTGGAGAATCTAGGATTTCTCCTATCGACACCCACAGTCCATTGAGATTAACAAGATCATGCTCAAAATTTAAGATCCCACCAACAATCAACAATTAATCCAAATAAGTCAATAATTATGAATCACATGAATTTTTTTAAAAGAAGATTTTAAACAAAATATTAAAATCAATAAAAACAGATAAAGAAAAGCTAACAAGATTTAAATCAAAACATAACATAATTTTCACATTAAGAAAAAAGAAGAAATAAAAAAGCTAAAGAAAAAAAAATAGTAAAAACCTTTATTTTTTTCTTTAAAAAAAAGAATGGAGGTTTAAGTTATTTTAAAAATGATAGTGAGATATTGAAACAAAAACAAGGGCCCAGCCTACTTGAAAATGTTTTTTTAAAATAAAATAAAACTCTACCATAAAAGAAAACAAGTGAAACATAATCATCTTCTCCATGACTCAAACATGCGGCCACTGTTCATGACAACTCAACCTCCATAGCTAGAACTTCAAACTTGCTCAAATCAAAGCGGCAGGATGCGAAAATAAGACAGAATGAATCGAAACACAATGCAGATTCCAAATACGCCAACAATTTCGAACGAAGCTCAACTACAGAATCGAAATTAGAATACAAGATTTCGTCAAAATCGGTAACTACCTTCAAATTGAGGGAGTAACAATTGGATTCCTCTTCTTCTTCACACTTCTGAATGATTGTTGTTGTGGTTAGCGGCGGTGAACAAGGTATCTCGACTTTATGGTGGTGGGTGGTTTGAAGTACGGTGAAAACAAGTAAGGCGGGATTGATGATGTCATTGTAAGGATATAGGATGGTGTTTGCTTTCATGAGCTGGAAAAGTTCTTTGTGAAGTTTTATAAGAAGAGGGTAGCGATGAAGTATGATGGAAGTGGATCTAAGGAGTTGCTTGTGTTGTGTTTTTACAGGTTGCAACAAGCTGTTAAGGTATTTGTGAGTTGTTTCATGAGAAGTATTGGAAAAGGAAGAAGATGATGAAGGGGAGAACTAGCAGCAGGAGAAACGGTGCACCTACTGCGGCTGTGACCATTCGATGGATGAAAGGAGATCGGAGGTAGTGGTGCGGGTGGTGGTGTTTAATGTCAATTGATTTTAAGGATGGTGGTTTGATATTAACACCAAGAAGAAGGGAATTGTGTGGGTGAAAGTGTTAGGGGTGGCCGCTGGGAGTCTCCCTCTCCCTCTCCGTTTATTCACGCTATGTACACTATTCAAATACTAAGTCTTCCCCAAAATGAGTAAAAAACAAAAACAAATTTTAAAACTTGTTGATTAAGTTTACTAGAAAAGATAAAAACAAAAATTTACATATTATATAAAATGATAAAGTAAATCAAATTAACTAAAATAAACCTAATTATCTAAACAAATTAAAATTAATTTAAATAAAAATAATTCAAAATAAAAAAATATAAATGATAAAAATAAACAAGGTTAACTAAAATAAAATTCTAATTAACTAAAAAAAATTAAAATTAACTCTAAATTAATTAAAAGATGATTTAACTAAAAAAACAAATAAAATGAATAAAAAACGAATAAAAAGTCGGGTATCGAAATTCCCGTAATAAACCACTTGGAATAATACAGCGTTTATCAGATTTTAAAATTAGTCGGAACCAGAAGAAATGATCAGATTGATCAAAATGTGACTGAAAAGTCGTCGAAAAATAAGACGAGTGCGTCAGATTAAACTATGTGAATAGTAGATCAACATCACTGACTTCTACAAGCTTAAATTTGAAACTTCACAACCACTGACTTTTTACATATCGACTTTTAACTTGACTGATTCGTTTGGAAATCCGAGAATTCTACTCCAGCTGACATTTTAGGCAGTATGCGAGATGAGAGGCATGTTATACTATGCGGATGATGCAAAGTGAAAATACAAAATCTTAGGGTCAAAAATTAGGATGTGAGTGATAAAGATTTTTTATCTGTTGACAATGAAACAAACACGGGAAGAAGGACGCTATCGACTCTTGAACTTTGAGAAGATGCTGCTAAATATCAACGAAATATTAAAGCTTACACCCTAGTACACCAATGAAGATAAGATGGATCTTGCTATTTGGAATGTTGGCTGGTCTTCAAATTGGCATGTAATCCACCCCTTAAATGGTAAGTGGTTGTGTAGTCTGTACAAAATGTGTAGATTATTTGTGCACGAATGCTTGTTCTTTAGGATGAAGTTCACGATTCCCTCACAACTACACCATGTGAGTTAAGGTTATGTAAATACAAGGGTATTGATTTATCTGGTGTGGAGGTGTGGTTGAAGAAGGCCCTTACAAAACTTTAGAATGATCTTGGGAACTTTGAAGAGATGGATCTTTTAATCCTTCCAAGAAGAAAAATGTTAATCTTTCCACAAACAACACCATTATTCTGTATTGAAATAAAAATGCATGAAAAGTTGAAGATGACCATCGTGGAAAGACTTTCGGTACATTAGTTGAAGTCTTAAGTAATCAGAGAGGAGGGGGGGGGGGGGGGCGTGTTTTTAAGATTAACACTCCAACACTCAAGTTAGTATTTGAGAGAGGTGAACCTGTTAGCAAGTGAATGCATTGACGTGACAAATAGTTACACTTATATATGAGTGACAATTACAATCGCCCAATTAATCAGACTTGAATAGTGAAAGATCATTGGATGTATATCAATACCTGAGATGAAAGCGAGAAGCGTGCTCCTATGCAATGCACCTTCCATTATTATAAATAAATACTACATTTGTTCCTTTATATAAGAGACGAATCACTTTTTAGATTCATTGAATAATCAATGTATCTAATTTATAAATTGGTCAAATATATTGGTTGTTCAATGAACCTAAAAATTAAATTATCTTTTATATAAAGGAACGGAGGTAGCATTCCATTTTCATGTTCATTGAATGATTTATGTATCTAGTCTTAATATAGATCATATACATTAATTATTTTATGAATCTAATTTTTTTTCTTCTTATAAGAACATACTATAATTTATATCTATAAAGTTCAAATTTAAATAATGTTAAAGTTATGTACAATATTTTAATGAATATAAACTTTAATTTAATTATAAGTTTATATAATATAGGTAGATTGTTTTGCAAAATTATTCTAAATCTAAAATATTTTATATGTTACTGAAACTCGTTAAAATTAAATTTTATACAATTTTATATTTTCTTACTGTTTTATAAATTTTGTTATCTTATAAATTATACAATTTATTTAGTATTTTGCATAAATGTTGAGCACAAGTAATAGTAGTAGTAGTTTTTAAAACTCAAACCATTGTAATATTAACCACTATTTCATCCTTTGGATTCAATAAAAAAAATAGTTCAATAGGTAGTTAAAAAATTTTAATTAGCTCATTTAGTAAGTAATTTTACCGAGTTCCTCTCTCAAATTATAAAACATTTTAATCACTTTACAAGAATTAAAAAATTTAATTATTACTTTTTATAAAAAAAATAAATTATATATTACTTTATAATAATACTCCCCATAATTACATAAAAAAAGAAAATAAGAGTTAAAATAATAAATAATAATAAATATTTGAAGGTATATTGCGAAAAATGTTATTAATATTGTATTTAAGATAATTTATAATTTGTGACAATTTTTTTTTAGAGATTAATTATTATATACTGTGAGTATAAAAAGTTTTACACCGTCAATTTATCACCATCATCCGTTTGCCTTATTTTAGAATTGATTAAAATAAAATTCATATTCTCTTAAACATCCAAATGACTATGGTATAAATTTTTTTTGAATAATGTATTTCAATTATTATTATTTTTAAACAAAGTTATTATAATTTGAAACAGAAGGAGTATAAAGATACAAAATATAATTTATTTATTATTTTTAAATGATGAATTCCAATTATTAAACTTTAAAAAAAAACCCTCTGTTATGCAATGAAATAAATCCTTTAAAAAAACCAATTTGTTGAATCATCATTATGAAATTACTTTAAAAAATCTTATTTGGCTTTTTATTAATAAATATCTGTTTTAATTGAAAATAAAAAACGTAAAGATTGAAGCTCCACATGAGTCCAATTTGAGCCCTGGTTTAGATCTAACGGCGTATAAGACCCAGGAACGGACGGAGATTAACCATAGTTGAAAATATCTCCACTATATAACAGCAATAGGTGTAACCATTTCCCTTCGTGCTCTCACTCACTTCTAGGTGGATTCTAGTTAATCCTCCTTTTCTATATTTCCCATTTTAACCCTGTTTCTAGGGTTTCGTTCTTCCATGGCTGAAGAGTTCCGATGCTTCGTTGGTGGACTTGCCTGGGCCACCGACACCGACGCTCTCGAAAAAGCATTTTCCACCTTTGGAGAAATCGTCGAATCGAAGGTCCGTTTGTTGCTGGATCGGATCTGACACCAACCGGATTTGGAATTTCTCGATCCCGTTTGATTTGATCTGATCTGTTCTGTTACTCTCTGATCTGTTTTCCGTTACTTCATCTATGATACTTGTTACTATTCTGATTCTTTTATTATTCTAATCGGTACGTTCATCTTCATCTTTGAATCAAAGGCGAAGATCGATCGGTTACTATCATGTTTTTGTTTGTTTTCTCTTTAATTTTATGTGAAATTGAGTTAGATCTGATGCGATTTGTGTTTTTTTGGTGCTTTTGTTGTTGTTCAGGTTATTCTTGATCGTGAGACTGGAAGATCGAGAGGATTTGGATTCGTGACGTTTGCATCGGAGCAGTCAATGAAAGATGCTATTGAAGGGATGAATGGTCAGGACCTAGATGGCCGTAACATCACTGTGAATGAGGCTCAGAGCCGTGGCAGTGGAGGCGGCGGCGGCGGTGGATACCGTGGAGGTGGCGGTGGTGGAGGGTATGGAGGTGGTGGTGGTGGATATGGAGGCGGTGGAGGAGGTTATAGCCGTGGTGGAGGAGGTGGTGGTTATGGAGGTGGAGGTCGTCGTGATGGAGGCGGTGGTGGATATGGTGGAGGAGGTGGCGGTTATGGAGGAGGTGGCGGTGGATATGGTGGAGGAGGTGGACGAGACCGTGGTTATGGAGATGGTGGATCTCGGTACTCAAGAGGAGGTGGTGGTGGTGGTTCAGAAGGAGACTGGAGGAGTTAATGTTGCTTTAATTTAGGTTTTTAGTGATTGAATTTGGATAATCTGTTCTATCTATTATGTCTTGTTGGTTATTGTAAGCGTTTTCAGTTGGAATGTCCTTTTAGATTGTGACTATCTGTTATGGTTTTGAGCTCGTATTTCATGTTTTTGACCTCTGAATTTGTGTAATCTTTTTCATCAAAGAACAGTCGTCAGAATTATGATCCAAAAGATAGTAAAAAGGCACTTTAAAATCGCATTTTCATTTTTATAATTATAAATATTTGGAAGCTAGATTTTTGTTTTCCTGGTATGTTAAATGAATGACGCAGAATGGAAAAGGGGTAGTAGTAAAATCTTAACACGTGAAATTTTTGTAAGAGCAAAAGAAACTGACTGCATTAGTCATGCGAGGCATAATCAATGGCTTGACTAGAAATTTTACTTAGAATGGAGCACATCCTTGCCTTCAACGCAAGTCCCCTATTACAATGAAAGATTAATCAAGGAAAGTGATTCTAATAATATAAGAAGCCTGGATCCATTTTTGCCACCATTGTTGCAACCTTCGATAGGACCTGTAACACTAACAGGGAATGACAACTACTGAGGCTGTTTGTGAAGTGGATTCAATCCGGTTTGGATTCGTTTTTTATTACCCAAATTTCATTCGTTTTAAAACTGGTTTTGATTACCCAAATTTCATTAAAACCACGTGTTCTCTGGTTTTGACTATCATGTTTGTGAGCATCACCATCATTGTTGAATTCTGCCTGTTATTTGGACACCGAATGAATCCGTGGTTTCTGTGAGCGGATGAACACTGACGAATGAATCCGTGGTTTCTGTGAGCGGATGAACACTGACGAATGAATCCATTCGGATTCGGATGATCTGTGGTTTCTGTGAGCGGATTCGGATGATCTGTGGTTTCTGTGAGCACCGACGAAAGAATCCATTCAGTTCCTACATCAGAAATGCAACAAGTTTCTGCACTACCCCTTGAATCATTACTGAAACCAATATCAGGAAATGTGACACAAATTCACCTTTGGCACGACACAATTGCAAATCAAGAACAAAACATACACCTGAGCCAAAGTATGACTAAAAATTGCAAATCAAGAACAGAACATACACCTGAGCCAAAGCATGTCGAAAAACTCAGCGAATGTAACAGGTTGCCAATGCTACCAACGACAACTCTTGATCAAGCGACTGAGGAATTCAGATACCACAAGGCTATGTCATCATGTATTAAACTTGATTTTATTTAAAGCCACTTCCAAGCCAATAAATTTGCCGTCTCTAATATCTTTTCGATTCTAATATCCTCATTTTGGAAGACTTTATTGTTTTTATGGTTCCAAATACTCCAAAAGCAAGCTGACCAAATAACAACTAGCTTCTTAGATGAAAATTTTCCTTGGTCTATCAAGCTTTTAAATTGTTTCATGTGTTGCCATCCAACATTATGAAGAGTTGGAGATACTCTAATCCAGTTATATTGTATATTGCGCTCCACACACTTGTAAAAAAATGGAACACTAAAAAATGATGTGAGAAACGACTCCTCAATACCACGTTCTCCTACACACTCTATTTGCCACTGCGGTAATATTCCTCTTCTAGTTAAGTTGTCTTTTGTAGGAATTCTATTACTTGGAAATCTTCACAACATACATGACAATTTGGATGGCATCGCCTTATTCCACACCTTAGTCAAAGGATGGCTAGAAGGACTAGCCATCCAACACTAAACTCTTACACACCTATTTCACTTAATACTCGTTTGATGTGGCAAACTCCCCGAACTCGAAATTGAAATATCGTACCACAACTTTGACACACCAGACAATCTGAGATTTTGATCCTCTAAATTCAGTATGTACCTATTAGCTACTGCATTATACATAATTCTCATTCTCTCCTTATTTACTTTCCATTTCCATTTCCATTTTCCTATCAATCCGATATTGATGGACCTTAAACTTCTAATCCGTAGACCCCCTCTTCTATCGACCTACATACCTTCTCCCATTTAACCTAGTTAATTTTTCTATCAACCTCACCCCCCCCCCCCCCCCCCCCCCCCCCCCTAAAATTTGTCTGAAAATAGATTTTAATTTAGAAATGATGCATGAAGGAGTTTTGAAGAAAGATAAAGTAAATCATAATCACATATATAATAGATTTTAAAATTACAACCTGACCGCCAATGGACAAATGTTTGCTTTTTCACCTATTAAATCTTGATTTCACCATCTCTATCACTTGATTTCAAGTTTCTTTTTCGATTTTGATTTGCCCCAATTGGGATATCGAGATGATTAAGCAGATTAAACCAATTTTACTATTTAGGAAGTTAGCTGCCTCTACTAACCAGAATTGAGAAACGCTAATCCCCAAAATCGAGCTTTTTTGAAAATTTACTTTCAAACCAGACATTGATTCGAAAAGTAATAGTATTGCCTTTATAGTCTGAATACTGGATCATCTTTTCTTATATATGGTCATTGTGTCGTCTGCATATTGATGATGGGAAAATCAGTGATCATCAGCCTCAAATCTATATCATAATAACTTTTCCAAATTAACAACTTTCTTCATCAATAAACTAAATCCTTCTGCTACAATTAAGAATAAGAATGAAGAGAGTGAGTCTCTTTGTCTTAGTCTACAACCTATAGAAAAGTCCTTAGTGGGAGTGTCATTTGCTAACACTGAAACTGAAGAGGACCTTAGACATATTTATAACAAAGTTGTCAAAACTTACGAGTTAAGGACTTCAGAAAAATGAATAATATAAAATAACATAACACAAAAAATTGGAAAAACTAAAAAAAGAAAGAAGAGTATTAACAAAATAATAAAACACAAAAGGGACCAAAAGATGCATCCAAAGGTTTTTGAAAAATTCCCTTCAATAAACAAATGGCTAGGATTGCCATCAGATATTCATATATCTTTCAAATTAGTGATAAAGGTAATTAACAATAAATTTTAAGCAATTTTTTAAAATTAATTTTTATTCTTTATGGTTTTATAATATTGGACTTAAATAATTTTGGTTAGATCTTAAGAATCGGGTCCATGAAATCTCAAACTCATAAATAACATAGAAGATACTCATATGCCAAATCAAGTGGCGAGTACTTTGTCCAGCTTGACTCTCGACTCAATACTCTTTCATTTTAATATGGGAGATTGTGTCAATAAACACATTGGATGAATACTCAAAAGATCCCAAATCTCATATAGATTGACAACTTCTCATATTCCTCAATTAAGTAATTGCGACTACAAGTACCTCAGCTTAACAACTAGCCAATGAAATCACTTTTTGCATATCAGAACTAAACTAGCCTCCTCTGTGTACTTTATCACATGCATGATAACTTTTATTGTACTCATCGCAAGTTCAATTAACGCCTAACAAAAACAACGACGACCAAGAAGTCATAGCGGATATGCTGGCCGCTATGGAAGAGTTACACCGCCACAATTAAATCCTACAAGACATCATTTTGCATCCTTAATAACAACGACATTAGAAGGTTTTCCAACAAGAGGGAAACAAGATCCTAGATCCTTAACCCCTCTTTGATGAAATTTGAGACTTTTGACTCTTAATAAAAAAAATGAAAATTAAAAGAAAATAATAAAAAATAGTCAACTTTTGATTTTGGATGACTTTTAATAAAAATAAAATAAAAAACAAAGAAAAAGAAAGTACATTATGATTCAAACTCAGGACCCCATACTCAACATCCTTACCACACTACCAACTGAGCTAACTAACTCGTAATGAAATGCTTTTAAAAATTATAAAAAGGAACCCGATAAAAATTGAGGTATGATAGTAAGACACATGAGTTTAGTAGGGTGTTTGACGAGACCCCATTATAGGATTAACATCTCCTTTCTTTTTCTTCGAGTTGAAGTTGAAAAATTTCTTCGTACTAGCCTGACATATCCAGAGCATCAACTCTAAATACATTAAAACCTTCTACAACCCTTAGCCTTTCTTCAAGTACCTTGTACTTGTCAGTTACCCTTGGATCTTCAGCAATATCCCCAGGGCGTGCCCCTCGTTTTGGCACATGACTTGGGTACCATAGATTATCGTCCATATATTGTGAACCTAAGTGCACAAAGTTATTATTAGCATGAAGATTAACAACTGATATCTGTAGAGGGCAAGGTATTATCCCCTTCTTTGTGGGAGGTGGAATTAGCCCTTCAAGAGGTGACATATTTGCCTATGGCTAAGTAATGTTGGCTTCGGTGAGCTTGAAACTGGGAATGAACACTAGTAGGGGTTGTAATCCTCAGAAGTACCAATAGTCTTGGCACGGGTAGTTTCCTTGAGAGAGGCTCTACGGTCCTTGTCTTGCCTTCCTAACACATTATTCAAGGCGCGCATCACTTGTTCAACAATTTCTTTCACCTCATCAATGTCCCCTTTCATCGAATCTATGTCTTCTTTGAGGGAATCCTGGTTCTGCTCTAATTTTTCATTGTCTTTTTGTGTCGAGGTCTTGTTTGAGATGGAAGCCGGGAAGTCAGTTTGTTTTGTTCAACAGTTCTGGAGGGAAGATGGGAAAAATGATTTTGTTGTTGTTGTTGTTATTGTGTATGTAGGAAATGCATGTAGGTGTATGTATTATATATGCAGATGTATGCTAAAAGTAGTGCTTTTATTTAGAGGGAATTTCAAATTTTGTTGTTTAATGTGAGCATTTAGAAGTATGAGAATAGTAGAGAGACGAGATCACATAGTTGACATAAATATTAAATACTTTTATTCATTCATGATAAAGTCAAAGTACAAAGTCTGAACATATGAAAACTATAGTTATTCCATGATGGCTACAACTAGGTGAGCTTTGAACTCTTTCAACATAGTATCACAAATCTCGACAAACTCTAAAATAGAAAGGGGGAGGGGGTACATCATTAGGATGCATACCTGCATAAGCATTCCTATGTATTCTTGGGATGTCTCGAACCAAGTTGTT